ACCATCCTCACAACTGTTGCTGTGTTTGAGCCCATCGTTGCAGCTACTGTGTCAATCCATCTTGTTGAGGGTCTTCCTCTTTTTTTCCTGACCTTCCAGGGAGAGGTCCCACCTAATAACATTATATATATATATTCACACACCACAAAACATTATATATATATTCACACACTTGCATGCATACACATGACAAGAAAGAGGAATCTAACTATATATGATAACACGTCTTCCAAGGCTGAATCATTGGTAGCCCAGGAATCTAGAACTAGCATGAGAACTTAAAGTGAAAATGTGTTTTTGAAATTAAGCAATTATTTAAAGAACCAGCCTATAATTTTCAACAAATGTTAACTAGCACTACCAGTTTCCATTGAGTCGATCCCCACTCATGGCAGTCTCATATGTATCAGAGTAGAACTGTGCTCCATAAGGTTTTCAATAGCTAATTTTTTTGATGTAGATTGCCAGGTCTTTCTTCCAAGGTACCTCTGGGTGGACTCAAACCTCCAACATCTCAGTTAGCAGGCAAGTGTGTTAACCATTTCCACTTCCCAGGGACTCCCAACAAATGTTAGAGGTTTATTTGCTTAGGCAGTTGCTCTAACTTGGAGTTTAAAATTATTAGTATTAATGCACTGAAAATGTATACTACCTTAAAAATTTAGTCACTTTTCCATATGATGGTATAGTTTAGTTTATTTCATTTAAACAGCTTTTCACTTTTATTCCTAGTCATTTTCCCCTTCACTTTATACGCGATCAGACATGATGTAAGATTTTAGAATTAGGATTTAATTGTGAGTATATCTTTAATGTTAATTATTTAAACATTTTGCATAGGTATAAAAAGAATGCATGAGGCAATGACCAGTAAATCTGAAACCTCAGACATAATTGCTGGTTTGGAGAAGACCTTAACATGATTCTAAAACCTGAATCTGAGGATAAAATAAAGGTTTGCAAAAAACGCACTTGAGAAACATTGAGGCTAATGGATTCTATATTCAACAGTAGTCACTTGAATTGTTGTATGATAATATCAGGAAAACATCCTGCAGATAGAAAACAAGCTACTTCTCTTCAGAATTATTTTTTAATTAGGAAAAACAATAATATCTACTTTGGGCTTAAAGTCAGTCCTTCCTAAAGACAAGGAAAGAGACATATGATTTATTCTGTTCATTTCAAAATGTACTTAATTTTACAATGACCTCATATTCACCTTTTTCTTTGAAATTAAAAATGAATGATAGCTAGCAAATACTGAGCACTTACTATACACCAGAAACTGTCCTAAGTGCTTTTCCGTATTGACTCATTTAATTCTGCCCCTAACCCTAGGTGATAGGTACTGTATTTAATCTTATGTTATAGATGAGGAAACGGAGACACAAAACATTAACGCAACTTGTTCCAAGGCAAGTAATGGAGCCCTGACTCAAACCCAAGCAATCCAATTTCAGAACCTGTGCTTTTAACCATTAAACTGTATTAAAGTACACAAATAAAAGATAAACTTAGTTTATTCCAACCTTGTAATTGGATAGAAATATTACATTGAAAATAAAATCCATAGAAATCAGTAAACTTAAAGACCCCTGCAAAAAACTATATATATATATATATATATATAAAAGTAAATGTATTAAAACCAGTTATTCTCTTGAGACCTTGATTTCACTATTAAAATAGAGGAATTTTTGATATAAGCCGTCGTTTTAGAAATTGCATCTGTTCTATCACTCGGTGCATGTGCATAGTTTTAAGTTTTTTGCTTACTTTGTTTTGTTTTAAGACTATTATATCTTTTGCAGTGTAGGACACAGTTAATATCCATCTATTACCTTAAATTAAGTTCATTCAGTATTTATATATTCCTTTTCCTTTGGAAGGCATAGTGATTGACCCACCCACACAATATCAAGTTAGACTAAGCATTTGAAATAGTGGCTGG